ACGGTTGTGTAATCTATGGCACATAATAAAAAAGCCGAGAGGCTGGGGAGATGGTTCAGTCAGCAAAGCGCTTGCCATGCAAACGTGAGGATCTGGGTTTGATCCTCAGCATCTTTGTAAAATCATGATGACACATGTCTGTAATCCCAGCACTGGGAGGCAGACAAGGGGGAATCTCAGGGGCTTGCTAGCCAGTCTGTCTAGCCAGTCACTGAGTTCCAGGTTCAATGAGAGACCTTGTCTCAAAAAATAAGGTGGTAAGGAAGAGACTCGACATTGATCTCTGTTCTCTAGTGCATTAGTACACGCATGAAAGCACACATATGCACATGCATATGCACACATACACCACACATACAACAGTAGAGATATATCATCACACAGGAAAAGCAAGTTGCAGAAGATATGTGCATGGTATGACATGTTATTTATATAGAAAACCAAAACAAAATTATCCTTCATGCACCTTAACTGAGACATACACGTTCATAAAATGCATTGAAAAGAATGAATGTACACAGTGACAGTGCTTACCACCAAGGAGATGGAGCGGGGTCCACATCAGGGACACAGAGTCAAAAAGAAGTTTAGCTTTTCACTTACGTTTGAATATTCTACGTGGATAAGAGTTTATTCCTACCATGGTTGTTTAATATGACTTTTGGGGGGGGTCTTTTTGAGACAGGATCTCCCTGTAGCCCCAGATAGCCTGGAACTCGCTATGTAGACCAGGCTGGCCTTGAACTCACAAGGATCCACCTGCCTCTGCCTCCTGAGTGCTGGGATTAAAGGCGTGCACCATCACGCCCAGCTAATATGACTTTTTAAAAATTATTTTAAGAGATAAATAATTTCTACACTGTGGAAACTGGGCAAATGCAATACACTCATACACATAAAATAAAAATAATAAATAAAATATTTTTAAAAGGTTATCAAAGTAATGATAAACAAGGAAAGTCTGAGAAACTGGCAGACCAGAAGAGACTGGGGCTCTGGAGAGGAGACTGAGTTCATGGGAAAAAAATCCAACTGCAGCCTGAACAGTGTGTAGCAGAGTTGAGTCCTCAGGTGGGACAACTGCGTCATAGCAACATGAGATATGAGTGACAGGGGACCCCTTTGCAGTTTTTCTGTAAACCTTAAACCATAACTAAATACTCATTTTATTGAGAAGTGAAAATGTTGCAGAAAGGATACTGGGCCCCCAAGAACTGCTTGGAAACCACTCTGGGGTTGTGCTACAATTAATTAATGATTAATCCTCTCACAGCTGTCAAAACAGACAGTTCTGTGAGAACTGCTTTTCTTTACGCAGAATGCCCTTGAGAAAGATATGGGTCACTGGTTATTGGCTGCCACTTGCCAACTTCAGAATCAGAACGCTGACCGGCACAGGGATGCTGAACTTGGAGCTTGACTGCTACATGTTTTTGAAACAGCCCAGCCTTGAGACCCATACCCACATTCCTGCCACTCCTCCAGAGGCCATTTTTTACTTAATCCTAATCTCACTTAACCAGGATTCAACATTCTGAATGGTAATGTGATCCCAGTGGGGCCCTGATGCAGTATAAAGTGACAGAAATACTTCAAGAGGTCACAAATTATCACTCACAGGGAAATGAGAAGAAAAGTTAAACAATGTTGGTTGCTGACTCAGAATTCCCTGAAACCAGTGCTATTTTCTGTTTCCTGCTTGGAAAGCTCTTCTCCAGACTGTGTGCGTGGCTGGCTCCTCCTCTTTAATCAAGGCTCAGATCAAATGCCATACCCTCTCCTAGCGCTATCAGAGTGCGCCCACCCCACCCTTGTTCTCTGCTCTGTGGCTTTCCTTTCTTGGCACTAACAGGTTAGAGATACAGGTGTGTTTCTGTGTGCTCATTTACTGTCTGCTGCTCCTCAGGGGAAGAAGTGGGTCTGATTCATTCCGGGAGCCCAGCACAATTCCAAGTACAAAGGCAGTGTCTAGGAAGAACAGATGAAGGAAAGAAGGGAGGGGGGAGGAAGGAAGGAGGAAGGGAGGGAGGGAGGGAGGGACACTAACGTGTAGGGTGTTGTGCTTATTGTCTGTCTCCCTCACATTCCAACTCTGGAATCTGAAAACATACGGGCATTCTAAGCCTCTTTATGGTCTATTTACTATAATTCAACTTTAAAATACAGTGGTTATATGTTTTTTTTGCCTTTGGCCAATTCTAAGTCAGCAAGTAGCCAGAGCAAGTAGTTCTTTTTCCTCCCTCCCTCCCTCCCTCCTTCCCTCCCTCCCTTCATCCCTTCCTCTGCCTCATTTGTTTGAGACAGTATCTCACTCTGAAGTCCAGGCTAGCTTTGAACTCTCGGCAAGCCTCCTGCCTCAGTCTTCCTAGTGCTGTGATTACAGATGTGAGCCACCATGCTTGGCTTCCTCCCTCCCTTCTTTCCTTTCTTGTTAACACTTGGGAAACTGCCTTCATTTCTGATTGCAGACTGCACCTGACTTTCCACTCCCAGTGGAAGGAAGCAGAACAGAGGTAAGAAATGTCAGCTTCCCTCTACTGTGTGGCCCAGCAAAGTCAAATAGGAACTTTCCCCACTTCCGTTTCCACAATGGCTTTCCATTCAGTCACCTTTCTGCTGGTCAGCACTTACCCAAGCCATCACTGTTTCTTATCATAAACACTCTGCTTGCTTCTGGAACAGAGATTCCACAGAGGTAACCTCCTTTGGCCCTAAGAGCCATGGGCCCTGTGACTCAGTCACTTGCTGGTCAGTGACACACTCTGGACATCACTGCTCTGCACATTTTCAAATATAAAGCTCTTCATCTGACTCTATCTCCCTCTGCCCTTCCCTCCCTCCCTCCCTCTCCCTCTCACTTGCTTCCTTTAAGCCATCAGGCCCCCCAGACTTGAACTTCCGTTCTATCAGTCAGTGAGGAAAACAAATTTGGGATTATAGCTTTCAGATTTTCTATTTTTTTCTTTTTCTTTTGGTATTTTCAGACAGGGTCTCATGTAAGCCAGGTCAGCTTTGAGCTTGCTACATAGCAGAGGATGACCTTGACTCCCTGGTCCTCCTGCCTCCACTTCCCAAGTACTAGGATTACGGGGATACACCAACACACCTAGGTCCTAAGATGTTAATACCTAAAAATCTCAGGTAAAGGATGATTATTGATCAGCCTCCAAGGCAGTGCCCAGAACCCAAGAGGCAGAGGCTCAGAAATACACAGGGCTGACTGCTTTGTCCCTCCTGCCTTCTCCACTACCCTCTATCCTGTCAGTTTGGGTGAGGTATCAAGAGAGTCTGATGCTTTTAAATGCCCCTTTATTGATATATGGTCCTCCTGATGGTGACATATATCTCAGTGAAAAATGGTGATGATAATCCTCAAAACTGGCAGGATGCCAGCTGAGGAAAATGCTCCTTGGTAGTTGGGTACTCCACAGGGGAACCTGGGAGCCAGGGAGGTCATGTTAGCTACCTCTGTTCCTGACCTATGTGGTCAACTCATTTCTCATTGGGTTCTCAAGATCTGATTTCAACAGATTAAAAAGTTAAACAAAGGGGGGGTGTCCATATGTTACACTTGTGTTTGCTTCCAGACACTCTGGAAGCTACTGGAACCCTTCGGTCCCACTTTCTGGAGCCTGGGATGATGATCTGGGACAAGACCTCTCTCATCACTCCCCTCAGCATCACCATACCTTTGGCTTTATATGATTTAAAACAACTCTACAATTCTCTTCAGAGGCGAAGGTCATAGAATTCATGGAAAATGAGCCCATTTCAAATCCCTGTCCTCTTGCTTTAACTAGCTCCTCTTAGCTCCATGGCCATCCTCTTCTCTTGCCGATGGTCCTGTGGGTATCACCATAGTGCTATGCCTCCTCACAGGTCCTCTCACCTTCTACCTCATACATGCAGATGATCTCACCCCACCAGGTACCTGTGTCTACCCTTCCACACCTGCAAAGTCTACTGCCTTCCCTACAAGGGAAAGGACACGTCCCTTCTTCAGGATCTCACCTCTGCCTGGCTCCTTTATCCCCTCCCCTCTTTTCCCCTCAAAGTTGTCTATTTCTCAATTTCTCCTTTCATTTCCTCCATCTCTTCTTTTCCACTTCCCTTTCCCTTAAGACCACAAACAGGCTGGTCTTCCTATCTCTGATAAGCAAAAAAATAACAAATACAGAAAACCCAGTTTCGAAACACATGGCACCAAGGGAAAGACAGTCACTAGTAGGAACGTCTTCTCACTGCCCAGCTTTGTGGCTTTCCCAGGCTCCCTGACTGGTTTCCCTGCCTTTGATCTCTCTCTCTCTCAATCCAACCAGCATGCTTCATGCTTCCTTCTACAAAAATACCGTTGTGCGTATCAATCTCCTTACAAGATAGAGCACAAATTCCTTAGTCTGGAATTGATGAGCATTCACAACCTGACTCTCTTTCCCTATCAAACAAGGATAGATCCTCTTTATCACCCCCATCAATCTTCTTCCTAAAACTGGACTTAAACCAGGACACACACTGTCTCCTCCGCACCATCCTCATGCTCATGTTGGAGAACTCACTGTCCCTGCCTCCGGTCCATTGCCTGTCTGATCCTTGCCCTGCCCTCAAGCCTGGCTCAGTGCCCCTCCTTCAAGAGGTAAAAGTCGGATCATATATTAAATCTATTGTTTATACTTTTTGGTGTTTGCTGTAGCATTCACACTGTCATACAGTCCCACCAGCAGCACAGAGGGATTCCTGCTCTCTGCATGCCCAGCTCTACAGCACCGAGACATGCAGCCTTGATGCTGACCAGTTGAAGTCTGTGGCTGGTAGGAACAGCATGCTACAGCATTATCCAGCATTATGTTGCCCTCTTTGATTAGCATTATTTCTTTCTTCTTATAATAATTAACCAGCTTTTGATAGGAAGGACTTGAAAAAACATCCAAAGTGAATTTCTAAAGGCTCCACACAGGCGCCAAGGTAAACCAGGGCATATTGATTGCTCATTCCTGATGTACCTGGTAGAGGTTGATGTTGCTATAAATATTCTCCCAGATTTGGTCATAGTTGCACTGATGCAAACCCTGGGAGGTCGGGAAAGATGAGTGATGTGGAGCCACCATGACTGTTTTTGCAGCATGATCCTGGAGTACTTGCATGACGCGCTTGGGGTTGGAAATCTTAGGCAAAACAGAGAAGAGACTGTTAGTAGAAACAAGAAGGTCCCTTCTTTCTTTAAAAATGCTCTTTTATTTATTTATTTATTTATTATTTATTTATTTAGTGTGTGTGTATGTGTGTGTGTGTGTGTGTGTGTGT